AATTTATTGTTGTTAAATTTGATGATTTATGAAGATCATTTATGTATATTAAAAAAATAAGAGGACCAAGTATGGATCCTTGTGGAACACCACATGTTATATTCATTAAGAGATGAGATATAAAATCTTTATTGTAAACAAACTGTTTACGGTTAGTAAGATAACTTTTAAACCATAATAGGTTTTTATCTTTAATACCATATGATATTAGTTTTTTTAACAGGATTTGATGATTGACGGTATCAAATGCCTTGGACAAATCAATAAACACTCCTAGTGTAAAACAAAAGTCTTTAAATGAGTCGGTTTTATTGCGCGTAAGTTGAAGAATGGCATGCTATGTTGAATTATTTTTTTTGAAACCAAATTGGTTTTCGTATAGAATTTTATTTTCAACAAGATAAGAGTAGATTAGGTTGTACATTATTCTTTCTAAAATTTTTGAAAAAACTGGAAGAACTGAAATAGGGCGATAATTTGTTATATTTGTACGATCCTCTGTCTTGAAAATTGGAGTTACTTTCGCTATTTTTTAGTTTATCTGGAAAAGACTCTTGTGAAATGGATGCTCTGAAGATTTTATAAAGAATATCTTTTATAACATCGTATGAATCAATCACAATATTTGTGTTAGTATCATCATACCCAGTAGCTTTATTTCGTTTTAATGACTTAAAAGCAACCTCAAATTCATTAAAAGCTAACTCAGTAAAATTTAGGTTAGAACTTTTTGATGTTTCAAACTCATCAACAGATTTATCTTTAATGAATGAAATACTATCGCTTAATTTTGTCCCGACAGAGGAAAAAAACTTGTTAAATTCAAATGCAATATCATTTGGGTCATTTATTAATTTGTTTTCAATTTGTATAAAATTTGGGAGTAAATTTTTATTTGGTTTAAATTTTCCAGACACCTCCTTCATGATTTGCCAGACGCGTTTTGAGTTGTGCTTATATTTATTAAGCAAGCTTGAATAGTAGTTTTTTTTTGCATTTTTGCGAAGCTTTTCAAATAAGTTTTTATAAGTTTTATAATTTTGTTTATGTTTTTCTGATTTTGATTTTAGGTATTTAATGTATAGCTTCTGCTTAATTTTTGATGATTTTCTGATACCTTTAGTAATCCAGGGAGATGACATTTCTTTATCGCTTAAAACTATTTCAATTAAAGGAAAGTTGGAAGCATACACTTGGTAAAAAGTTTTGAAAAAACTGTCGTAGATTATGTTGATATTTTCATTAAAGTTAATATAGCCCCAATCTATATGTGATAATTGTTTAAATTATTATTGTTGATAAGCCGTTTTTTTATTAAAACCTTTCGCTGCTTCTCTTTTTTTAAATTAACACATATAGAAAAAAAAATCGGGAAGTGATCGGAAACATCGGCTTTTATAATTCCCTTTTTTAGCGACTTATTAAAAAAATCGGTTGTTAAAATGTTATCAATTAATGATGATGAATGACTTGTGATTCTAGTCGGGCGATTAATTAAAGGTATTGTTCCAGTTTCAAATAAGCCATTAAAAAATTTTCTCGAACTTTGATTTTCAAAATAATCAAAGAAGTTTATGTTGAAATCCCCGATCAAGTAATTTTTTTTCTTTTCAAGATCAGTTTTCTCTATTATGTTATTTAGTAAAAAATTGCCAAAGTTTTCAATTCTTCCAGTTGGTGGCCTGTAACAACAGCTTATTAGTATATTTTTTGAACGCTTATTGATAAGTTCTATTGTTAAAATCTCTTTGTTTTTATCATAAACACACATTTCTCTTCGAACTTTAATTTTTAACAAAAAATAAAGCTCCTCCTCCCCAGTGGGCACGGAAGTAAAAAAGGACGTCTTTTAAACGTCTTATACACGTTTAAGACGTTTTCTGAACGTCTTTTGAACGTTTTGGACGTATTTTAAACGTTTAAAAGACGTCTTTTTGACTTCCGTGCCCACTGGGTCCTCGCTTATTTGTACTTCGTTCTAAAATTACTGGATCAAAACCTGGGAGAATGAGATTTGAGTTATTTTTTAAATCTGCATGTAAACACCAGGTTTCAGTTAAACAAATTAAATTAAAAGAACTTTCCGCTTCGCTAATAAAATTTAAAAAGTTTTCAAAATTCTTTTTTAAGCTATGTATATTAATGTGGACTGCATTAAGATAATTACTTTTATTTTCGCTTTTTAAAATTTTGCTCACGTTACTTAGATAAAAATAAGAGGTTTCAAATTCAGGAGAATTAATTTCATTAAAATAACTAATATCCCGATCGGATTCGTCGTCTAAGTGTAATGCATAGGTTTCAAATAAATTAATTATTTTTTCAAAATCATTATTATTTGTTTCCATTTTCGCTATAATTTATTAGATTTGGCAGTAAATAATAGTGTGCGACAAGTTGAAAGTCTTTTAGGAAGACTTAGTGATTAATTTATTGCATACCACTTTAGCATATAACGTATATTTAAATATAACGTAAACAAATAAATAAAATAAAAAAATTACTTTTTTTTTGCATTCCACTCGCGTACTATAAGCTTGTCGTAAGAAATATATGCAAATTTTCCCGATTGTCTTTCAATTTTCATTTTCTCTCGCAAGTCTTTTCTTATTCGATTTGTCTCCGCGCAAAAATCTTCATTGATAAAAATATTCTTTCCTTTTAATTTTGAAGAGTTTCTTAAAATTGCTTCTTTATCTTTAAAATCCAATAATTTCACAACAATTGTTCTGTGCTTTTTTATATCTTCTTTACCAGCTCTATGCGCTCTTTCAATTTTTACATCTTTTATGCCCAAGTACTCATCAAATATTTTTTTAACTTTTATTTCGCTTTCTAGCCAGCTTTCATTATCATCTTCTTTAACTCCTTTAACTCTTAGATTGCTCCTTCTTGATCTATCTTCTATTTCTCTTAGCTTGCTATTTATTTTTTTGAGTTCAATGTTGTTATTTTGAATTTCGTTGTGAGTAGGTTTATTTTTTATGAAAATATCTAACGCAGTTTTAATTTTGTTTTCAATGAGTTCCTCATGAAAATTTAAACTAAATTTTATTTCTTCAACTTCTGTTGCAAGTGTTGATATTTTTTTAGCGTTTTCTAAAATATTTTTTTCTACTTTGTCCAATATTTCGTTTAAGATTTTGGTGTTTGCACTAACGATGTTTATAAAGTTGTTTTCTTGTTGCTTTAGTGCAGCTTCTGTTTCTACTTTGTACTTTGTAAACAAGTCTTTTATCATTTTTTTGATTTCCACAAGTGTTACTGCCATTATTTTAAATAATCTTTCTTTTCTCTAATGTATGCTTATTAACACAAATTTTTTCTTTTTTTCAAATTTATATAAATATATATGTTATATAAGTAAAAGAATTTGTTCAAAGAAATTTTATTTTGGAAAGGAGGGGGTGGGGTGGGGTGGGAAGGATGCTTAAATTTGGTTTTCCTGAAATTGAATGTCTTAATCAGGACATTAAATTGATCTTTGGACATAAGTGATATAAATAGAATTTATTTTGAAGAAATGTTGGAGTTTTTTTTTAATCTAATGGGCTTGGTTTAATTATTTCTAACATGTATGACAAGTTTAATTAAAAAAATATTCCTTTCGGTTTTTTGGTGCTAAACAAGCTAAAAAAACTCTAAACAAAAAAAAATATATCTTGCTGTTTGTCGGTATACAAACATTAAGCTTACATGATAAAGTTTGTGAGAATAAAAATTTCAATAGGCTATTCAGAATTTTAATCTCTCAAGCTTAATCAGATAAACACAGTCAATCGCAACAACTACAGTTTATAACACAATTATAATAATTAGCTACATTTGACTAGCAACATGAATTATTGTTTTGGGGTAAGTATTAAAAAACTGTGACTCAATTTCTGAGAAGACACTAGTTTTCACAAACCAGTTTTTGTCATAATATATGAATAAAACAAGTTGAATAAAACTTTTCGGTTATTTAGTAAAAAGGTCATTGTGTATGTTTTTGTATTTATGTCTGGTGTTACTTATGACATAATTTATGTTGGAGATACTGTCTTTGATTTTACATTACTAGTTTTTTAGAACTACTAAAGCTACTTAGAATGATTAGGCATTTTTATAGATATATGCTTACTAGCAGTATATAGAATATATACTGCTAGTAATCATAAATCTACTAGAGCATAATTATTTTATTGACTATATAATTTAGTATTTGTTCTTTGGTTTTCTTTGATGATCAAAAAGAAGATTTTAGACTTATTAAGTATAAATTTTAATTAGCCATATTATTTATCCTTTATGAGAACCATGATAATCATAATGGGAACTATGATGAACCAAATAAAGGAAAAACTAGTTTATTTAGTATTTTAATAAAAGCTATTACCAATTTTTCTTTGGATGTTATGAAATGTGAAATTGTGGCATGGATACTTTACAAAGGTTTTTTATACCTGTAGTTTTCAAAAGATTTTGCCTCTAGTAAGAAATATTATTAATCAACACCTCAAAATATGCTTAAAACAAGCCTAAAAATTGTATTTCAAGTTATTTTAACTTGGTTATTACTTTTTCTTTGCTAGACTATCTGAGTTTAACACAATGTTTGATCGATACACTTTTGAAGTGTTATAAAGCACCTGTGTTTTAATTTCTTCTTTCTAATATTCAGTTTCTTCTAAAAATAATTGCAGAAATTCAATGTTTTGTTATACTAGTTGGGAAGACCAAATCATATGTTTTAGTTTTGTTATACTAGTTGGAAGACTAAATCATATGTCGTTTGTTTAAGCAAAGGATTTATTAGATTTATTTATTGTTTCTAAACCAAAGGCTTTATTACTTAAAGTTGGTTTGGGGAAATTAAGTTGAATTTCACTTAATTGCATTCTTTAGTAAGTTATCTATGCATAATGCTAAAACCTGAAAATTACCAACAGATTACACACATAACTAGCTTTTGTTTTTTTTTGGATTAGCAATATTTATATTTGATTTACATAAATATTTAAAATATAAATCTTGTTATTTTAAAAAAATTATAAAAAATATTACATTTTGAAACTTGTCTCCAGCCTTCAGTAATATAACTTATGCAAGTTTTATGATCTAAATTTATTAGTTGAACCATGATGTAGCAACATGTAAAACTTAATTTATAAGTTCTCTAACCCATATTGATAAGTAAACAAAAATCTAAAATGGGTTAAAATGGATATACAGGTAAAGTATTAGTGGCGTAAAATGAATATATTTAAAATATATAAAATCATTAGCTAGATGACATTTTTTTATTTACTTATGCTCATTTTTGCTTTTTAATATAGTATTATACATTTTTAAGTGACATATAATAGTTTTATATAATGCTACTGAACTATTTACATTAAGATCATAGTTCAAATTTGTTTTCCCTGAATGGCTAGTGTAAAACTTTAACTTATCTAAATGCTTTATATTTTGTTTTTGTACTCCACTTTGCTTAATAATTAATTTTTATATTTTATATAATTACGGTTTATTTTATAATATTTTTGGTAAAGTAAAAAAAAATTTATAGTATTTTAGATAAACTATTATGTCTCGTGAATATCAACGCAAGACTATTGGTACATATGATTACAGCAAATTAATGACTGCCATACAACTTCTTTAGGAAGAGGAGTCAGTATGCAATGTACCAAAATCTGCTGGAATTCCTTATGGGAATTCCAGCAGATTTTGGTACATTGCATACATTTAATTTTTCTCAAAAAAAAATTATTTATATAACCATTCAATATATTTATTAACAAAATACAAGTACAATTGCTATTTAGAGATTTAGTTATTGTTTTTTAACAATCTACAATACTTTGGTTATTGTCCATTCGTTGATTTTTCCTTTGCTGAACTATATAATAACTATATAAAATAATACAGACAATCCCCTAATCAAATCCAAAAGAGTGACAAAATAATTGGAAATTAAATACTGTAAAGTATCGCACCGATACCAGACGAGAAATCGAGACTCGAGACTGATTATCTAGTGTCTAGTAGACACTACCCTCTCCCAACTTAGAAAATGTCAAACTTCAAAATATTATTAATAAAATTAAAAAAATAAGAAAAAATACAAAAACTGTAATTCGACATTTAATTTTTCTCAAAAAAAAATTATTTATATAACCATTCAATATATTTATTAACAAAATATCTTACAATCTTTCTAAAATCATTCTAAATAATCAAATAAAACAGTTGTTTTATATAAAAAAAAAAAAAAAAACATTAATCTTTTTTTTTTATTATTTTTTGGGCGGACTACCCCCCTAGAACAATGAACTGGATCCGCCCCTGCTGTGTGCAGTTTCTCATATTGTTATTCCGACTCTATTGTATTTTTATTTCCGAAAGGCTTAATTTTTTTAGTTTTTGTTAGTTAAAAATGAAGTTTATTTTTTACGTTTCTACGTTATAGCTATTATTGTTTAACTATTAAGATTTAAAAAAAATATTTGGTAAAGCAATAATTCATAAATTGACTGATTTTTAGGGAAAGCGCTCAAAGCACAGTTTGCTAAATTCATTCTAAGTCTCTGATTTTTTTTGTTTGACATATATAAACCTACTAACTAATTGTAAAGAAATAATAAATTCATGCTTATTAAAGGGTCTTTTTTTTGGTAATAATATTTCTAAAATTATTTAACTCATTTGACATTGTTTACATGTAAAATTTACAGTAAATGCCCCTAAAATTATTAAAATATTAATAGAAGAAAATCCTAAAATACCAGCGAAAGTACAGCAAAGGAAAAATCAACGAATGGACAATAACCAAAGTATTGTAGATTGTTAAAAAACAATAACTAAATCTCTAAATAGCAATTGTACTTGTATTTTGTTAATAAAAAATTCAATAAGTCACCTTTTAATTTTTTTTTGTTTTTTTGTTTTTTGTTTTTTTAAGAATCTCTATTCGAGATCATGCGATACCACACGATACGAGACCATCCTTCTCGGTATCGAGTGGTATCGAACCGATACTGATAGTATCGACATTAGTATATAAGCGATACCACGCGATACGAGACCATTCTTCTTGGTATCGACTCATACGATACTGATTATCTAGTGTCAAATAATTATACTCCTGATGAAAAATTACTTCATAAAAAACTAAAATCTATATGTAAAATAATTATTTAGACTTAAAATTTTGAAAAAAACCAGCATTAAACAATCTCAAAAATAATTAAAAGAAATTATGAAGTATAATTAATTTAATTAGTAAATAAAATAAAATGCAAGTTCTTCTTAGAACATGCTGCTATAAAATGCTATAAATTGTCTTTTTATATTTATAAATTTATTATAATATATTAATAAATTAGAGGTTATTTTAACATTGTTACAGGAAGGTAAGTCGTCAGCCTGCCAATACCTAAAAAATGAAAATAACGACTGTCCTATCAATTTATCATACATGTTCTATTTTCATTAAATTTGTAAATTCTATTTTATAAATCCACACACATTTAATATGCATAGCTTGTTAAACAGCCTTAAGTTATGTTGTAGATTTAAGCAGCTTAAGTTATGTTATAGATTTAATAGCTAACCTTTAGCTAAACTTGATCTTAAACCAACAGAATAGCTTAACTTTAAACCAACAGAACAACTATATACATCTACACCTTAATTTTTTCAAATTAAATAAAAAACATAACATTAGGAAAAGTGATTTATTAAAACTAATAGAAATAAATTGTTTTTATATTTTAAATATGCTTTTATATTTTAAATTTTTTTTCATCAATCTTATATGAAAATATCTTGAAATTATATAAATAAAATCCGAGTCTAAAAAAATCTATTAACTATTATGAATAATAATAATTTCTAAAATTTATAATCAAAATGCAAAAGAGTTTTCAGAAATGAAATGAAACAAAAAAACTTGTTGCTTGCACATTCTTTTTGATGTTTGCCAGCACAATTTTTATTAAAAAGTCATAAAACTGAGCAGCTTTGCAAGCTAACACGCTTGCAGTACCATTTTTGCAAGGCATTACATCTGCAATGGGCTAAAATTGTACCTTGATGTGCATTTTTTTACCAGTTTTGAATTCTGTTTATAAATTTGACCACCTTTTATTAATGTTCTATTATTAATTAATATTAACTGTTGATCAAAGTTGCGCAATTTTATTAAACTTTGTATACATTAGAATTGCATCATCCCTTTTACGTGGTGTCTCTAATTTTGTAATTCCAAGTATATTAAGTCTATTTTTATACTATAATTTACTTAATAATGATGATAACCTTATTACTCACCTTTGTTCATTTTCTAGTTTTAAAATATTACCAACAAGATATAGAGACCACACTATTACAGCATATTCCAAAACATGGTCTGAAAAATGGTTTATATAAAAGTTTCATCATTAATGTGTTTTATCCAATATATACAATAAGTACAAAAACGTATTTAAAACCAACAGTTCTATTTGAAGACCTTAGTGCTAAACAAGCCAAAAATAAAAATGATACAATTTTTTGAACAAATAGTACTTAAGTCCTGCTAAAATTACTTATGCTAGCTTTCCAGCCAAACCGCTTTTAGAATAAGTTTATAACTTTAAAAAAAAGAAAAATATATATATATATATATATATATATATATATATATATATATATATATATATATATATATATATATATATATATATATATATATATATATATATATATATATTATTTAGTATATATTAGGAATACGCTAAACAAGTTTATATAGTATAAATAATATATACCATAAAAATTTGTTTATTGCATTCTACAAAAAGTGTCCTCAATGTTTTTAATGAACTGAGCAATTATAGTTTAGAAAAAAAATACCCTTTTTATATCTTATGTAATTGCATATAGAGATTTATTTATCATAATATAACAACTAAAACATGGATATTTCATATTAAGTTTATTTTATTTCAGGAGAAGCTCACACATCTTATAACAAAACGCTGAAACCATCAAGGAAGCCTGTCATAATTGTATGAAGATGTCTTACTAAATTCACAGATATTGAGTGAGAACAGATTTTTTCTACATTTTCTAATCTTAAAGATCATGACGTACAAAATGTATATTTGCAGAGCTGCATAAATGTAACCCCTGTCAATACTATTCGTGAAAGGCCTAAAAAGAAAATGACAAAGAACGAAGCAGTTTCTTCTATTCAGTCACTGCAATGGGCCAAACTGTTTCTGTTTACAAAGCAGCATTTCTTGCTATGCACGGGGTAAAGAAATCTAGACTTAAAAAAAAAAGTTCTTAACTTTACTGTTTTCATTAAAAATGGCCGCGGCAAACACAAAAACCATTTTAAAAAAATGATTAAAAAATTTGAAATCGTGTTTGCAATTACATTAGACTGTTTTCTGCACATCAAAGCCACTACAGCCGATCAAAAAACAAACACAAAAAATATCTGGATTCATCTCTGGCTTTGGCAAAAATGCATCGTCTATTTTTAAAGGAAGACCCAGATCTTATACTTTAAACGCTCTTGTTATAAACTGGGTGATAAATAGATAGATTCCAATCTCCAGTATATGCTTTATGAGACTATAAAAATGCACTAACATTGGTAGAATGTTTATGCATAGCAACAACTCTTACTTTAAGTTTTGATTGGTGCATTGAGGCAATAACCTATTATTCAACTTTAGGTGAGGATTTCACAACACAAGAATAAATTATTGAAGCTCTACAATCATAAAAACAAAAACAACTTCTTTATAAAGATTATTTTCTCAATCTTCGGACAATTATTAACCGTTTTGATATTGAGCTGCTTTTTGCAAAAACATCTTACAACTTTTGTCTATGAATTTTCTAACATACCACAGTTTTTTTAATTTGTAATTTTCATCACTGCGAAACCATTTAGGCAGTATTTATAAGACAATGAAAAATTCAGTATTTTATTGACAGCTATTGACTCAAAAACAGTTGATATGCCTGATATATCTTGGCCTACTGTAATTAAATAACCTAATTTGAAGCGATTTAATTGCTACATGTTTGAAATACGCAGCATAATTATTTACATTGCAAAACATTGTTTTGCAATGTAAATATTACTAAGAAAATCCATGTTTTATTTGTAATAATTGCAACTATAATAAATACAAAATTACGAACCTTTAAAATTATTTCAAATGGAGAGTTATGGATAGTTTTTGTTACATTACATTAGGTTATTTTAGTAGCATGTTGATATTAATATGTATCATGATATATGTTGATATAGCTATCTAAAAGCCTATTTCAGTATTCTGTGTTATTATTGCAATAAACTTAAGCAGGCAATCAGTTAGCGAAAAATCCAGCAAAACATTCATAAAAATATCTAACTATTATTTAATCATTTTAATAAAATTAAATTAAAACATTTATAGTGCTAACACAACTCAATAACGAAAACTCTAGCTTTTATACATAAGCCGTAAAAATAAACTGGCCGCTTAATTTTTTGGAAAATGCAACAAATCAGACCGTGTAATTTAAGTAGGCGATGGTGGTAATATACTTAAATATCAAATATATATATATATATATATATATATATATATATATATATATATATATATATATATATATATATATATATATATATATATATATATATATATATATATATATATATATATATATATATACATATATATATATAGTATATATCAAATATATATATATATATATATATATATATATATATATATATATATATATATATATATATATATATATATATATATATATTCAGTAGCGGCTGTTTTTATGCAGCCGTGGCGCAGTGGTAGCGCACTTGCCTCAGAAACGTAAGACCCGTGGTTCTAACCCCAAGTTTTTCGACATCGGTTGGGAAGGAGGCGTGAACTTCCCGTTAAATGCTCTTCCTCGGTGCTCTGTGATAAGACCGTAAGGACTTCTTGGGGCACCTTAATCAACTTAAATATATATATATATATATATATATATATATATATATATATATACACACAGTAATTATTAGTATTGTAGCCTTAAAAAGAGTAAAGTATTAGTATTGTAGACTTAGGTTAGCCCTCTATTTTTAGATTCTTTCCTTATCTAAATACGCAGTTATGTAATTTTTTTAAAATAGTTTTTAAAATTTAATTTTTAATTACATCTATTTTCTATTTAATGATGCTATGTGAAAGTCAAGAAAGTACAAGCTAAACTGCACTTTTAGAAATGATTTTAAAAGTTTAACATCTGCCAGATGTTTATCTTTTGAATCATAAACTAAGTGATGCAATGATAAATAAAGATTTTATGAATCAATCAATCATATATATATATATTCAATCAATCAATCATATATATTCTGAAAATAAATTTTCAAGGCTATTTACAAATAGTATTGAAATACTAATCTCAAGTAAATACCTAAAAAAAATAATTTATATATATACAATTAATCTTAATAATAATAATAGCAATAATAATAATAATAATAGCAATAATAATAATAATAATAATAATAATAACAATAGCAATAAAGTAATTATAATAATTTAAATAATCGGTATTTTCCCTACAGCAATCATTTTTACATGCAAAGTTACAGTTACAAACAGTAATAAACTGACAAAACGTAACAACTAACGATGACATAAAAACGACTACTACTAAAAAAAAATTAAAGATTTAGTAAATATATTAATATAATCATAGTTGTAAAAATATAATAATCAAAATATATTGCAAATATTATGACCAAATAAATAAATATAATATAAACAGAAAAACACTGAGAAAATCAAAACAAAACAAGTTTACAACAATCATTACGAAACAAAACAAAAAACTATGCAAAATAAACAAAACAAACAACAACAACAAAAAAAACTTAAAATTAAAAAAGATAATAACAAAAAACGGTAGAATTAAACATATATAATAAATGGCTAAAAATGAAAATAAAAACAAACAATATATAACTGTATAAAAAAGTTATATACCACTAAAAATAAATAATAACTAAAAAACAAACAAATGACTAACAAAAAATAACAAGTAAAACTATATACGCTAAAAAATTGAAGAAAAATAAATAATTAATAAAATAAATAATCCTAAGAAATATATGAAAGAAAGCTAAAAAAATGTATGAAAAATAAATAAAAATCTAGATTTGCCGATCGAGGTTCATCTCTTTAAATTTTTTTTTTTTTTCATTCTTTGGCATTGTTTTTATATTTCATTCATTTAACGTTTTTTTTTTAACTTCTATTTTCGTAAGTTTTTTACTTATTTTCTTTCAGATGTTTCTTTTTCTTTTCTTCTTTTACAAGATTTATTTATTCTTCTTTTTTGTTGATTTCATTTTTAGTTTAATTTATAAATGTTTTCTTTTCTTTTTTACTTTTTTCCTTTTAAAAAGTTATTTTCAACGGTTTGAAAAAAGCGTCCACCATTTGCGATGTCATTGCAAAGTATGAATCAAGCAACAAAATTTGAAGGTATTATTTTATTACTTACTTAGCATTGTTCTCAATTACTCATCTTAAATAAAACTAATAAAAATGTTGCTTTGGCTATTCTGTTCATTAATTAGACATTTACTACTTGTCTAACTTATTTAACAAAGTGTACCAACAAGAATGTAAGCCGTAGGACTTTGCACTCTATTTGTAAATTGTCATGTTGTTGCCTATGATTAGCTCTCCATTTCTGGATTCTTTTCTTTTTCTTAATTGGCAGTTATGTAATTCTTTTAAATAGATTTTTTGTTTTAATTTTTACTAAATAAAAAATCAACTTAAATATAAAATAAAATACATAAATGAAAAAAGTAAATATTTAAGTAATATTAGGTAAAAACCAATTCTAAGCTGCTCCACTAAATCAGAAAAAGTATTTCAAACTTTCAACATCAGGAGTTATTTCTTGATTAATAAATTTTTTTTTTCAATTAAATTTTTTATTTATTGCATTGTTTTGTATTTTTGTCTTTTTCTCTTTGTTTTTTAAATTCTTCACAAAATAGCTTCAAAAACACAGGTATAATGCAACATCTTTATGTTTCTTCTCTTGACTTTACATATCTTTTACACTTTTAGCACTCTTTTACTTGCTAAAATAGCTAATTTGCTAAAATTTATACAATGATCTGACAAATCATATTATTTCATATATTTATTTATTATATATACTATTTTCGCCATGTACCAACTATAATATTTGGCCTTTATAATATTTGAATTTTATGAATATATTATTACTATTACTATATTATTCTCTCCACAAAGAATAGTAAGTTTTTCTCTGCCCTCAACCAAATGATGGTAAAACAATATTAACACTAAATGGTCCATAGTATTCTGCTATTGTAAAGCCACAGTCACTCATTACAGTTTTACCTTGATTAACGTAATAAACATAAATCCTTTTCCGGGTGCATTTCCAACTAAAACTTTAACTATTGTATTTTTTTTTTTTTTTTTTTTTTATTTGCATTCACTCCCAACAAGGCTGCAAGCAACCACTATTAAGTTGGGAGTTACTAGGAAAAAAAAGAACAGAGTTATAGAGCAAGGAAACGGTTGACAGAAGACTTGAAAAGTTGAAGGTTGTAGGAGTCAGGAAAACATGAAGATGGGAGAGAGTTCCAAAGGATTGAAGTGCGGGGAAAAAAACTAGATAAATAAAAGTTTTTAGAGCATGCTGGGACAGATACAGTAAACGAATGAGACTTAGCTGAATGACGAGTAAAACGAGAATGAATTTTAGTTGATAGAACTAGAGATGATAACTACTTTGAGCAGTGACCATGATAGTATCTGTAGAAAAGAGAAAGAGATGCAACTTTACGACGATGGGAAAGAGGTTCAAGCTTAGCAGATAGTCCAGGTCCAACAACATTTACAATGCGTTTTTGGACCTTGTCAAGAAGAGAAAGTGAATCGTTAGAAGAACCAGCCCAAATATGACAACAGTATTCCATACAGGGACGAATAAGAGATTTGTAGAGGTAGAGAATGGAATCAGAAGTAAGGAAATGGCGAGCACGATAAAGAGAAGCAACCTTAGCAGAAGCTAATTTAGCAATCGATTGTATATATGGTTTCCATGAAAGGTCAGTAGTAAGCGATAATCCAAGAAGACGTAAAGAGGACGACTCAGTAAGAGGATTGCCATTCATTAATATAGGAATGTTGACCATACTACGGTAGTTGTTAGCAGTAAGCAATTGGGTTTTTTTAGAGTTGAAATTCACAAGCCACTGTGAACCCCAATCTATTACTGAAGTGAGATCAGATTCAAGATCAGCTGCTTGTTCTAGGCGATCGAAAAGAGAAGACTTTTTGTCAAGACAGGAGTATAAAGTTGAGTCATCAGCAAAAAGAGCTACTTTAGATGAAAGGTTGTCAGGAAGATCGTTTATGTAGATAAGAAACAAAACAGGGCCCAGGATGGAACCTTGGGGAACCCCAGAAGTTACTGGAAATAAAGAAGAGTGTTGGCCTTCAAGGATGACTTTAATAAACCGATCAGAAAGAAATGATTTGATAATCTCAAAAACTTTCCCAGAAACACCATATAAAGCAAGCTTATGGAGAAGACCAGCATGCCAAACTTTGTCGAAAGCTTTAGATATGTCGAGAGCAATAGCCCTAGCCTCACCGCCTCCATCTAATGCACGATAAAATCTTTCAGTTACAGCAGTTAGCAAGTCGGCCGTAGAGCGAGAGGATCGAAAACCGTATTGATTGTCTGACAGCAGTTTATTTGACTCAAGATGAGATGTGAGGAATTTGTTGATCAAAGACTCAAAGACCTTGCTAATAACAGAAAGAAGACTGATCGGACGATAATTGGAGGGGTCAGAATTTTCTCCAGAGTTTTTGAATATTGGAACCACAGATGCCATTTTCCAACAAGCAGGAAAACAAGACTCAGTCAAACACTTGTTAAATAGTTTAGAGAGAATTGAAGAAAGTTCTGGAGAACAATTCTGCAAGACTGTGACAGGAATGTTGTCTGGACCACAAGCTGTAGACGAGTTTAATTGAGATATGACTTTAGCAACAGAAGCCGGAGTGATTTGAATGTCTAACAATGGGTCAACCTGTTTGACTGGAATGGAAGGAAGAGAATGTCCATAAGATTCAAGAGTGGAATTAGAAGAAAAGTTCTTTGCAAACAGTTCTGCCTTATCCCTGGGAGAGGTAACAAGATCGGTCCCATGAATGAGAGATGGAATGTTAGATCTACCCTTGTTAACAATGTTGTTGAAGATTTTCCAAAAGTCTTTAGAGCCTAACTTCTGCGATAAGATGCGAGATTTAGTGAACTGAGAATAATGGAGTTTAGCATCAGAAAGCACCTTTTTACATCGATTTCTTGCAATAATAAATAGCCGTTTGTTCTCAAGAGAGTTGTTCTTTTGAAAAAGATGAAAAAAATGGTTACGATTGGATATAGCAGCCGCACAAGAAGGAGAAAACCATGGAGTAGAATAAGGCTTGACTTGAAACCGACGAGAAGGAATAAAAGCTTCCATTCCAGCCTGAATCCAGGAGGTTATGTAGGAGGCGCATTTGTCAGCTGAGAGAGAAAAAACATTAGCCCAAGGACCATCACGAAGAAAATTACGAAAGGAATCCCAGTCAGCTTTAGGGTAGTAGTAGGTGGTGCGATGATAAGGTGAGCCCAAAAAAGAAGTACGAGAAGAAAGATTTACAGAGATCATTGCGTGGTCAGAACCACCTAAGGGAGAAAAGGGAGAAACTGAACATAAGCTAGGGTCAGAGACAAGACATAAGTCAAGGAGTGAAGGTAAATGATTAGGGTTGTCAGGAAAACGAGTCACAAAGTTAACTATCTGAGTAAGAGATTGAGAAACGCAGAAGTTAAAGGCTTTAGTGCCAGCAGGATCAGTGGTGTTAGAGCCAAGCCATTCAGTGTGATGGGCATTAAAATCACCAACAACAACAATATTGGCAGAGGGGTAAAGAGAGAGGGCATGGTCAATTTGATCAGAGATAACATCTAAAAGAGTGCAATCATGGGAAGAAGGAGAACGATAAAGAACAAAGAGAAAGGTGATAGAGTGAAGAGGTGCTAGGCGAAAGCACATAAAAGAATGGTCAAAGGATTCGAACCTGATTTCACGACAAATAGGGGAATTAATGCGTATGTAAACCCCTAAACCTAGCATGTGACTATTGGAGTCTTTACGAATCAAAGGATAGTACCCATCAACACTGACATCTGAAGAAGGAATTGCAGAATTTAAATTTGTTTCACTGAGTGCAAGCAAGTCTGGTGAATTTTGCAGGAGGTAAGACTCAACTGATGGAAAGTTGCTTCGAAAGTTGCTTATTTTTATTATCTAATTACATAATTTTGTGCATAAATAATTAAGATAATTTATTAACTTTGTAATGTACACAATCAACGATACATTTTACAGTAGGGAGCTTTTTCTGCAATCATTAGGAAATTTTCTTCCTAACTCACCCTATACAAGGCCATATGCAGATGTCTTATACATAAAATTTACCCATGTATTTACAGTATTTAAAACTGTTCCTTCTGAAATATTGTATAAAAATAAATAAAAACAAAGATCACAGTTCACGAGTAAATAAGTCAATGTTAAAATAAATGCATCAAGCGGCTTTAATTCTCTTGTTCGTCCGGTAGATGAACTGTTTTTGTTTATTGGAAATGTTATAAAAAATTGTTTTTTCCAGGATCTAAAAATGCTTAAACAGCTTGGTTATTGATGGAAATCCAGTATAAACTATACTGGATAAATGAATCTACTAATTTACCTTCAGCAACATTTACTTTAAAGTCTACTTACTCTAGTGGCACTGACAATAATGTCGATTAAGAGATATCTACTTTATTTTGTGGCGATGAAAATTGTGCTGATGCAAACGAATCGTCATCGACATTTTCAAACAATCATTGTCTGAAACTTTGTGGTTTTCTGGATGTATCTGAGACTGAAAATTTATTTCATGAGTGCAGTATTGTCCTAAAAATTTTTATAAGTTTTATTTGTGTACCAAATGGGGTTTTATGGACCATTTCTTGTAAGAAATGCTTTTGACATCAACTAGATTTGTTGTCTTTAAATTATCTTAATTTTCTTGTCTTTTTATTTAGTTACACCAAATATTTCTTTCTACAGTTAGAAATGTGAGAAATATAATGTTGGAACTCTAATTCCATTTACATTATCTATCATACCTATTTGAAAAATATTAAGAAAAAGCACATTGCAACCCATACAATATCACCATTTTTAAACAGCGTCGATTTGTTTTGATTGTTACAAACACTGCCTCGTTTACACGGAATGCTATATGAAAAGGTCTATCCTACCATTTAAATCCAGCCAGTGGGAACGGAAGCTTAGCGTAAGAAAAGGAAAATAAACCTTGGAAAAGAAGAAACGTAACTTTGGCGTTTAAAAAAAAAAATTTAAAAAGCATTTAGCGTGTTTTAAAATGCGCACCTTCCGAACCTACCAAAAATCACTATATATCAAGGTAGAGTAATTATTGCATTTCTACTCTGAAACTTATTTTCTTCGTTCTTCTTAGGATTTTATATTCGCGAGTTTTAATGAGTTTAATAAAAGACGTAATAAACAGTTTCGCTTGCCGGATTCACAAATATGTTCATATGCGCGAGTAAATTTATTGCCTAACAACAACGGCCTATTAAATGTTAGAATAAATTATTAAAAACAAAAAACTAGCTAGACTTTCTCTTTAAGTACAAAAAATACAATCTAGATACAAAAGTTATTTTCCAAAATATACGCAATCTACATTCCCATTGATTCATAAGCTATGTAATCAATAACTTATTTCTTGCCAGTGCAAAAAATTTCGCCAATGGTAAAAAACTGTACAAAAATTGCGGGGTCATTTACAAGTTGCACTAAATTGAATTTAACTATTGCACGAAAATTGAATTAGTCGACTTCTTCCATTCTGGCTTTGTCTTCGTCTTTTTCTGAATCGCCTTCTAATGGTGGCATATCATCTGTAGCAATTTCTTCTACAGCTAAAATAGAAAAATGATCACTTAATTGTCAAAAGCTAATGATAAATTATAGTCTAACTTTGGAAGCGAAAAGTGAAGTTGCTTTAAACTTTTTAGAACAAGCTTAAATTTTTAGCACAATATTAAATTATATTTGCCCTTTTCACAGACGGCGGATTAAATTTAAAACAAAAAAACGCAGCTTCACTTAACAAAGAAAATCCCGCAAGGTGGACATCTAAATCATTGTTAACGAAAGACTAAATGCACTCTTATCAAATAATTAACTACTAATGAAAGTGCTTAAATAGATTAATATTACAATAATTAATTTCAATATT